TTTTTTCATTTTTCTAATGTGCCTGATAACGGAAGATAGTTTTAACTCTTTCAACACCGTAGGCCGGTTATCCGGCCAAGAAGCATCGAGTCCCCAGACACCGCAGGCCGGTTATCCGGCCAAGCCGTAGTCACGTCAAAATAGTACTATATTTTTATGGACCTACCTGTAATATCATTCATTTATTAAATCTATCACATTTCACAATGTCTGAAATACATATTCCATTTCAATTTAACATTTTTTATCGTTAAATTAAAAAAATATTCACTATTTCCCGCGATGTTATTGAAAATAAAATTCTCGGAAACACATTTCGACAACGGGTCCACATCGAACACGTTAAAGAGGAAAATAAAGACGTTTTAAACAAATCTTTAAATATATTATACAAAGTAATATATAAAATCAACAAAAATATATCTAAAAGTAATCAAACTTACATCTAAGTTATTATTTTCATCTTTTCGTGCGATCGCGTGTAATGTACCGTAAGTCAAATGACATCTCGGCTTTCGTCGCCTTGAATTCTCGGCTCGGACACGATGTTTAATGCAAAAATATATGCATGATGCAAAAATATATGCATGAAAAATCTTTGTCACAGCTCGTAACCTAGCACGATACATTCACGAAGTTCCATATTTTTAATATATATCGTGATTTCCTGCTCAAAACGTTCAGAATAACACGATTTAACAAAATTCTTTCGCAAACTTCTGTAATTTATAGAACACGAGCTTCGTATCACAGCTGTAATTTGATTGGCTGCCTTAGGTCACGTGCTCAAAATTGACCAATCACGAAACTTGTAGCAGATTTCAGCAAGAAAGCGTCATTAGAAACCAATTTTAATCCAATGAAATCGCTTGTTATAACTACGGGGAAAAACCAGTCGATGTTACGAGCGTGTAGATGAAGGAATAAGCTTTCCAGCGATGTGTCATATGCCATTCTTCGACAAACGTGTTATTCATACGAAACCTCGAAAACGGGGGTATTTCTTCATTTTACTGAGCGGACAGTCGCTGTTATCGGGAAATGGGTGATGACAGAGACTATTTATAATTCTTTTTAAAATGATTTTCCAATAACGTAAACAATGAAAATAAAATAGAAATAGGTACGTGGATATTATGAAATCATATATTTGTCGAAAATCGTCAAGTTTTCACTTCCTTGGTCCTTAATCTGGATGTTAACAACGTGTTAGCGTACATTTTTTATTTACAACGAATTTAATTAAGTTGTAAATGCATTATTTTAAATAATGTGAAAAACATAACTTTCATATTTATAAACCATAGCATCAGACCTTTCAAATGGTGTATAACATGTAGTAGCAAATATATTTTACAAGCAGGTATTTTCTTTGATAAATGTTGGCTTCATCTATCACACAAGAGCCTCTGGGAACTCGGTGTCCCAGCAGTAAACACTTCTGGTTGACTGGTGTTGAAAGAGTTAACACTGTTTTTTCGTTTTTCTAATGTGCCTCATAACGGAAGATTGTTTTAACACTGTTGTTTCGTTTTTCTAATGTGCCTCATAACGGAAGATTGTTTTATCACTGTTTTTTCGTTTTTCTAATGTGCCAGATAGCGGAAAATAGTTTTAACACTGTTTTTTTTGTTTTTCTAATGTGCCCGATAACGGAAGATAGTTTTAACACTGTTTTTTCGTTTTGCTAATGTGCCCGATAGCGGAAGATAGTTATAACACTGTTTTTTCGTTTTGCTAATGTGCCCGATAGCGGGAGATAGTAATAACACTGTTTTTTGTTTTTCTCATCCATCAAAGACTGCTTGTTTGTTTATGTGTTGGTTTGTTGTTTAACACTGCAAACAACAATATTCCATCTACAGTCAAGTTCTATTAATCCAAAAACTTGTTAATCTGACAGTTGGCTTTATCTGACACTAATGATGGGTACCAAATATTTAGACTCGTTAATCCGACAGTCTCCCACTCCGACACGTCTAATGTACGACGGATTGCTGAAGTCAGCCATTAATCAGTGTTGTTAATCCGACACAGTGATCAGCTTACCCTGTGGTCATCTGCCCATGTGCACACAGTCCCATGTTTTGATGCGAGATGAGTCGGCAACTGGGTGCAAATTGCAACCAAACAGGGTTAGCAGTGTCACGAAGAGGGAATCAAAACACTGGAAATAGAGCTTTTTCCCAGTCGACTAAATGTACCAGTTATCGCCATTATCTAGACAGCATGTGCCACATTATCACCGCGAGTGGTGGCTCTATTTTTGTTAAAATATGGAATATTACGTATATATTTGCAGTGTCATTGTCAATGAAAGAAGGAAGGAAGGAAGGAAGGACAGAATAAACACTCCAACAATATGGATATTTCATTTTCAATTATTTTATTACAGCTTACAAACATCGTTGCGATCTATCGTGTACTTGTCTGATTTTCGATCACGAATGTGGATAATGCTTAAATTTGTTTATCCGACTGACTTATTAATGCAACCGACCATGTCAGATTAATGGTATTTGACTGTATATGACAGATGTCTGTAAATAACAAGTCCAGTGGTCAGGTAAGTAAAAGTGAAGTGTATATTATAACCAGGGTATTTTGGAAAAAGGGGTTTTTAATATTTACTTAAAATATAGTTTACTAAATTAAGCTTTTGGGTAAAATATGGATGCATATGAGAGAAGTGACCGTACAGGGTGAGGGCATAACCCCTAGGGCAAGTGATGATTGGTTTTGCTTCTCTTAAGTGATAGAGTTTACCTTTCATTAGTACAATGAATTAGTAGAATTGGTCTTGCAATAAAAATGTCAGACGGGAGATAAATGGATGGAACAAAATTGTTAGTCTTGTGGTGGTCAAATAGTTCTGAGTATTACTGCTGGATTAGAATGTCAAAATAACATGATTAAGTATCTATTCGGTGCCTTCCAGTCTGACAGAGTATTTGATGGTATTTGATTATATGAGTATGTCCGAGTTGACCAATGACCCTAGGGAAGTAATCAAGGTGGTCAGTCGAGAAGAGTATTTGATGGTAAAACTAATTATAATGGAAATTGGGGTTCATTAGAGGAATGACTATTATGACTCATTTTTCATGATGTCAAATATGATTTTGGTGGGAGGAGCTAAAAGGATCACCGATAGTATTTTGTGAGTTGTCCGAGAGTGGTGCGGGGAGTCGGGAGCATACAGCTGAACAGAACGGTTCACTGTGGTTTTGGGATCCCGAGTCAGAAAAGAAGTAGAGTTAACGTTCATCAGAAAAACCATCAGGCTCTTCAACCATCATCTAGGTATGTGTTGTATTTATATCAGGCAACAACAAGAATATATCTGAGGACCATGTGTGTGTATTTATGATTAACTCTATCATAAATAAAAAGGACTGGAGCAAACCATCGGACTTGTGATTTTGAGATAGCTACATCATCCCTAGAACCAAGGAGTAGTTGATAAGTAGAAGTGACCATAGGTAGAAGGGTAACGTACCCGGAACCTAAGGTTACATATGGCGGAAATGCTCTAAGATCACCGTACCATGCTCATCACAAGTTTGAACGGTTTGCATCTGCAGCTGAGTTGCTGGACACTTGATGGTTGTTAGCCTGACACGAGCCGATGCTTTTTGCCATTCACGGTAGGTGATGTCCTGTAAAGCGTGAATTTATTGTGAGGGAGGTGTTTTACCCTTGTATTTGTGAACTATACTCACCAGTGGGACTATGGTTCACTGTTTGAAAGCCGTGGGGTGGTCAGTTTCCCATGTGTTATTGATTTCTTTGGTAGTACGGCTACTACCATAACAGTGATATTGATTTTCTAGTGTGGGACAGTCACACTGATGGAGGACCCTTGCTGCACACTGGTGTGCATAGGAACTTTCTGCAGTATTATAGGACTGTTATTATCTCATCACCAACAATGAGCACGAGAAGTCTTGAAATTATGATGTTGAATTTGGACATATTGTCAGAGAAGAACCAAAGTGATTCAAAATGTTTCATGACAATGAAAATTGTTCTGCCTCTGATATTACAGAGACAAATGACAGTTTATTTTCAAGAGGACTTGGAAATAAGGACAAATTAGACAAGAGTTTTGCTGCTTTAGCAAGGGCTTTTTCCCTAAGTCAGTTTTCTCTTGAGAAATTCAATGGAAGTGATCCAGAAATTGCAAGTTCATGGTTAAGCAGATATGAGAAATTTAATTCTTTACATAATTATTCAGAAGAAAGGACAAAGACAGCATTTAGTTTATGGTTAGACAAAAATGCTTTAAAGTGGCATGAAGCTCAAGACTTTAGTGACAATTCCTGGAATGAGGTGAAGACAGCTTTCCTTGCAAGGTACAAACTAAATTCAGCAAAAAGATATGAAAGACTAGACAAGCTTTATAATAGGAAACAGAAACAGTCTGAGGATTTTGAGGACTTTCTTCAAGAATTGCAATATGAGGCAAAACATCTTGATAGAGTGGACGACAACTTTATCATGGATGCCATCATTAGGAATTCTCAACCTCACATTAAACAGTTCATTTTGACAAGATTGCATGAGACCAAGGATCAAGTCCTGGAAAGTGCGAGAATAGCAGATGCTGCATTTGGACTGGCCACATCAGAGAATGACAGACTTGTGTCTGTTATAGAGGAGCTCGTTGGACAAGTATCCTTATTGACCAGTGCAGAAAATACTCGAACAGGAGGGAACTTTTCATATGAGCATCAGGATGACTCTATGTACAGAAAACAGTACATTAAAACTGGGACTGAGTGTACTGAGGACCAACAACCAGTGAAGAACATGACACAAACATTCCATCAACATAACAGAAGTGGTTGTGCATCAACACATGTTGATATCAGGGACATGAGTGACAATGATGTGCCCTGAGGACAAAACTGGAGCCCTGCTCCAAGGAATATGAACATGGAGGAGCATAGGGTGTCACAACCATAATTATGGAACATTTGTGGACAATGAGGTAGGACACAATTTAGTATGTCTGAGAGTCTTGGGAGATCTATGCAATGTATTCAATGCTGTAGGATAGGCCACCTAAACAGATTCTACTTTTCTAATTAAGTCAAACGTGTGCAAGGGTTAACAGGGGCAGTGCTACATGTGGATTTGAGCCTGCCGCGAATATAGCAAATATTGATTTTGATGATGTTGGTAACATCATAGGCCACTCTTTTACAATGAGAAATAATACAGAACCAGATCATAGAAATGATAAGTGATTTGAGCGAGATTGTTGTTTTGACTTGTAGTGTGGGCTTATCTCACAGCAGTATTAGGGTTAAGATATCTGGAAAGACTTACAGTGCCCTATGTGACAAGCCTAAAGGCTAAAATTGATATTAGCCATAATAGCTTGACTTTGTGGGATGGACTTACAGAGACAAAGTTCATTGCCTATTCAGATTATTCCAACTTTGTTATATGTATATGTGATGAGGTACTACCACCACACACTGAAACTTTGTTGCCGGTGTATATTAATGACCCAGACATAAAGTCAGGCGTCGTCAATCCAATTGAGTCTATTGTAGAATAGTTACACATGTTGGGTGCTAGATGTCTCACTTCATCTGCCAATCAAGTACCATTGTTTAGGTTGATGAACCCTGCTAGTTCAGAGATTAAGTTAGCAATAGGTGTCATTGAAGAAGTCGATATTGCCAATGTGTATGGAGAGTTAGGAGACAGTGACACCACACACACCACGCCTATCACCACAGGTGACAAAGCATTCAACCATGTTGATATTGACGGGACTCATTGATTGACGGGAATATGGATATCCAAATATGAAATGGGAGTTGATAAGTCGTAGAGGAATGCGATACCAAGTCCGGGTGTCTCGAAAAGCGAAGGGGTCCTAAGTGAGTTTCTCAATTCAGAAATTGTGGAGAATTTCCATGTCAGAAGAACAATGACAGGGAAAGTGAAGAAAGAAAACAACAAAAAGTAAACAATAGAACTGCACGTAAGGAAGTGTGAAAATCATAAAGGTATATGATATACGGAGGATATGTAGATCCAAGGTTATAATAACAAGTTGGTTTTAGTCCCAAGTTATAGTGTCATGTGTCAAAGCAAATGGGTACCCAGATAGGAAATCAAGAAATGATTGTAAGTCGTAGAGGTAACATGCCTACGCAGATATGAGATGATGAACAACGTCGTAGAGGTAACATGCCTACATAGATATGAAATGATAGTAAGTCGTAGAGGTAACATGCCTACACAGATATGAGATGATGAACAACGTCGTAGAGGTAACATGCCTACGTAGATATGAAATGATGGTAAGTCGTAGAGGTCACATGCCTACGCTGTCAAGCCGTGGAGGAGACATGCCCACGTAGTAATAATGTCGACAAGGACGTAGAGGAGACATGCCTACGTTATTTGAATATAAACACATAGATGAGGAAATGCCTATGCTGTTTCAAAGCTTGAAAGATCAAGTCTAGAGATGCCTGACAGTCTCTAGTGGTGAGGTAGATATGTTTCTACCTCAAGTTGCTGAGTATGTTGAGGACAGTCGAAAGACTAACGATGAATTCACTCGGGACGAAGGACAGAGGGTCGATTTGTCTCGTAGCCTGGGTGAAGACCTATAAATCGGTCGGGGGATGTAGATGATTGGCCAATCATATTTGTACAGAAGAGTTTTGCCTAGTCAGAAGGCTGTTGTATACCTCCTGTTGAGGAGAGGAAATGTTTGAAGAGAGTACAGACGGAATATTAAAGAGGTTGGTTTTTTTTTCATGAGTTATGATGCTGACACAGATAAAGACACAACGATAGGAGTGAAAAGGGACATACGGTTATATATTACTGGGATTGAAGATGTAACAAATCAGAAGTTGTTTAAAAACAAGGCCTTTTAACTTAAAAATATTCAACTGACCCACAAGTACAGCATATTATTCACACATGAACTGGAACTGTATGAACATAAGCGCTGTGTTCTGCGGTTTACTTAATGTTGGTAGACATTATTTATGAGAGAGTAATATGTTGTATGGTACATTGGTGACGATCAATTGGGATTGTTGTTTATTGTTTTTCACTTAGGGAAGATATGGCTTCATAGGGATAACAGAGTAGGAACTGAGATCAGATTTAAAATCTGAGAGACAACTTGGATGTTTGCGTTCTAAAGGACCCTTAGGCTTCACACTTAAGGTGATGATGACACTACTAATGGTGTGGAACCATTGACGACATGCATTCCGGATATCTATCTCTGGGGTAATACCTTCAGATATATGGGACGACTTAACATACGAACAGACGTGGTATCATACGTTTGCTATTGAATTGCCCAAGATCTCTAACTATCCGACTCTGCCTCGAGATATTTGTCAGAATGCTAGTCTTCTAAGGAATCGCACGTCCTGTGATGAGAACATGAGGGCTGTATTGAATTATATTTATCGCATACATGACGACACTTTCAAAGACATGTTAGAAGGGGTTACTTTGATCAGAAATATTATTCTTCAAGGTCAAATTGTTAGTTCACAGACTAGCTCTAAGAGAGCTTTACTACTTTTTACTGGTGAATTCTCACATAATTTATTTGGTACCGCCGTGACAGTGATGTGAACATAATACGTCAACATATCAATGTCTTATCAAATACAATGAGAGCGGAAGAAGCAGCTTTTAATGTGTCCCAGGATTACATGGGTTCGTACATGTCTAAGGCCAATGACAGAATGGATGGTTTGAAGCAAGGTATAATTGCATAATGAATTGACTGAACTGATAAAGGTAGAGGATGCTAAGATACGATGGTTTCAGGCCATGTATGCACATTGGATACAACTGGTTGCAAAGGAGTTACATTTTGCTACTATGGTTGAAAGGAAGATTAATCAGTTGAGCACAGGAATATATAAGTTATTACAAAATGTACTATCACCTGAGTTGATACCTTTCCGACATTTAAGGCAGACTATCAAAATAAGGAGAGCATTGAAATGTCACAGTTTTGGAAATTTAAGTGATCTCAGACATACTAGTGTCCTCTTGTATAAATGTTGATGTTATACTGTATTCAAGATGTTACTTTTACTACATGTTTTATGCTTTTGTGCTACCTATATGCATTTATTTATAATACATATGAATGGGTACACCTACCATATGAGAAAAACATATGTTGAATTTCATGAGAGAAAATATATCTGTTATATGTTACGAGGATGTTGTATATTGTGCATTGTATTGCACCTCAGGAGTTGATAGATTCCATGTGCGATCACTGCCCAATGAGACATTTGACAATATTCTATATAGGTGATGTCCAGTGACTTTACGATAAGTTGATGTTGAAAAAAAAAAAAAATAATATTGTGATTGTTGAGTCAGGTGAGATGTTGTTTGTTTACTGAGTATAGATGCTGAAGCTTAATTTCAACATTTACTTGAGAAATTATAAGAACAAACTGTTGTAATCTTCAGTTAAAGAGGACTTCATGGAGTGTAATGCACAAATTTAAAGTAATTTCCTATTTGATTTATAAATGACTGAATTTTGGACAATTAACTCTTTTGGACATCAGAGTCAAAGTTTTTGCTGTCATACATGTAGGAATGAGCAACCTCATTCTATAAGATGATGGAGAGAATCATTTCTTTATAAACTTCCAGGACATGTTTGATTATTTGATATGGAGAACTTTTCCCATTGGATCGAGACCATAAGAGTCAGAGTAAGTTGAAGATGTTCTAGAACATACGGACATGGAACATGTTGATGATACAGAATAGTAAGATTATATATTGCATACATAGAACTCTGAAACTGATCAGCAGTTGGTTATTTGATGTTGTGATACTATTGTGATTTTTTTTGCCTGAAGAAAAATGCTCAGATGTCTATATATATATATATGAAATCAAAACGTTGAGAAGATGTTTTATTTCACCAATCTGCATCTACCGAAAAAGAAAAAAAACACACTGAAAACTTTACAAAGTATAATAATTTGATTATGTCTTTATAAGCCTTCACATGTCATTATTCTCAGATAGGTACAACCCAAGACAGATCCTATCTGAGACATTACCTTGTAAAATTTCATTGTATTGATTTTTCTCGTCCTCAGATGCATACACACACAAGTTGTTACATATTGATATTGTACTATGGTATTTACATTTCATATTCTATTATCATTGGTCAATCGCATGGGACATGCTCTACAACGGGAAGGGCATGTATAACCAGGGTATTTTGGAAAAAGGGGTTTTTAATATTTACTTAAAATATAGTTTACTAAATTAAGCTTTTGGGTAAAATATGGATGCATATGAGAGAAGTGACCGTACAGGGTGAGGGCATAACCCCTAGGGCAAGTGATGATTGGTTTTGCTTCTCTTAAGTGATAGAGTTTACCTTTCATTAGTACAATGAATTAGTAGAATTGGTCTTGCAATAAAAATGTCAGACGGGAGATAAATGGATGGAACAAAATTGTTAGTCTTGTGGTGGTCAAATAGTTCTGAGTATTACTGCTGGATTAGAATGTCAAAATAACATGATTAAGTATCTATTCGGTGCCTTCCAGTCTGACAGAGTATTTGATGGTATTTGATTATATGAGTATGTCCGAGTTGACCAATGACCCTAGGGAAGTAATCAAGGTGGTCAGTCGAGAAGAGTATTTGATGGTAAAACTAATTATAATGGAAATTGGGGTTCATTAGAGGAATGACTATTATGACTCATTTTTCATGATGTCAAATATGATTTTGGTGGGAGGAGCTAAAAGGATCACCGATAGTATTTTGTGAGTTGTCCGAGAGTGGTGCGGGGAGTCGGGAGCATACAGCTGAACAGAACGGTTCACTGTGGTTTTGGGATCCCGAGTCAGAAAAGAAGTAGAGTTAACGTTCATCAGAAAAACCATCAGGCTCTTCAACCATCATCTAGGTATGTGTTGTATTTATATCAGGCAACAACAAGAATATATCTGAGGACCATGTGTGTGTATTTATGATTAACTCTATCATAAATAAAAAGGACTGGAGCAAACCATCGGACTTGTGATTTTGAGATAGCTACATCATCCCTAGAACCAAGGAGTAGTTGATTAATACCAAGTGACCATAGGTAGAAGGGTAAAGTACCCGGAACCTAAGGTTACAATATTTACATAATGGATAGATGACTGATGACTTTGACACCCAAATACTCGCAAATCTATGTATATAATGAATACTTTGTACAAATGGCACTTTTCACTCTCCTTTCAAACATGTGAATCTGTAATTCGAGGAAAGATTTGATTTAAAAGTAAACTTTACTAGATTTTATGGCATCATACAGGCTATGTATATTTAAAAATACTTGGCATTGTAAACCCCAAACTCTCTGACATTCTGAGGACCCTGAAGTGCACAGTTTACACGTGAAGATCCGGGGTAGATGTGGTCTTCAGCAACCCATGCTTGTCGTAAAAGGCGACTATGCTTGCCGTAAAAGGCGACTATGCTTGCCGTAAAAGGCGACTATGATTGCCGTGAAAGGCGACTAACGGGATCGGGTGGTAAGGCTTGCTGACTTGGTTGATGAATATCATTGATCCCAATTGCATGGATCGATGCTCATGATATCAATCACTGGATTGTCTGGTCCAGACTCGATTATTTATAGACCGCCGTCATATAGCTGGAATATTGCTGAGTGCGGTGTAAATCAACAAACCAACCAACTTTCTTTTAAAAAGGGAGCTAAATATTATTATCACATTTTAACCAACTCTGTTGATTAAGAAAACGTACAACATTATGGATAACAACTTCTGGTTTATTGCATATAACAACGTTTTGATGTAGATTTTTACACCATTATCAAGTTGGAGTGGCAACAACCAAGTGATGAGAGGTATATATGCCTGATGTATTCCTATGTAATGAAGCCAGATGTACAGTAAGGTTAAGGATTAAACAGTTGTGGCAAGCTGACTGGATCCTAATTAAAATAGTCTATTGCTTGATTAGATCTTCATAGGCAGACAAGATTTAAAACCCTTGGTCTCTGTTGATCAAAGGTTTGTGACGGCGGATTTCCATAGCTTCTGAGAGTTTACTTTTGGTCAAGTCCTGATGTTTGGTTGAGAGGATTTGGACTTTCATTCATACCTTGTTAAAATTAGGGTACCCTCCAACAATTAATGTACTTTCTGTAGCAATGAAGTAGAAACAGTTACTCATCTGTTTTGGGAATGCTCTCATGAGTTATTTTAAGACTTATTAAAAGACAAGTGTAGCCATGTATGGTATTTAAACCTGAGCCTGAGCCCTGAGTTTGTTATTTTTGGCCTCAAAGAGTGAGGAGTATGGTTTTACGCCACTATTAGCAATATTCCCGCAATATCACGGCGGGAGACACCAAAAATGGGCTTCACACATTGTACCAAAGTCAGGAATCGAACCCGGATCTTCGGCGTGACAAGTGAACGCTTTAACCACTCGGCTACACAACCGCCCCTGGCCTCAAAGAGAATTTTGTTTCTGATGAAACCTGTGACCTGATATTGTTAATGGCAAAATTTTACATTTAAATCTCTGACACCACTCTCAGGTTGATACATTTGAAAATAGTTCTTCATTATAGATATTATGTTGAGAAGAACAGGTATTCTTCTAAAGTCAACAAGTGAAGATTTATCAGAAATGAATGCTGTACTGTTCTCTTTGTGAGTGAGTGAGGATGAGATCAAATGGGGTTTAATCTCGTGTCCAAGATTATTGCACTTATATAGCAACATGCAGGCATGTGTGTGTGTGGCTGCTTGTACTAGTCCCAACTGATGTTGATTTATAGTGCTAGCTCACTGAGATACCATGCCGCAGTTTAACATGAATACCCAACTCAGACATAGTATACTGACTCCGAGCTCACCAGGGCCCCGTTCCACAAAGCAATCTTAGCACTAAGATGATCGTAACACCCATTCTTTATCATAGGCTTACGAAAGGCATAGCGCTACGATCGCTTTGTGGAATGGGGCCCAGTCCTTGTTTTAGCCCCTTAATGCCTAGCGCCAGACAGGGTAACAACAAGTACCATCTTTTACCGATCAAACCCCAGACGCTCTTCCACTAGACCACGGCGATGGTCCTTACTGAGGGACATACTTAGACATGTATTATCAGCTTAAATTGAAATTGAAAATTGAAATGAGGGAATCTGTGAGTAAATGTGTTCTTGTCCATTTTTCTTTAAATAAAGAACAGAAGTCCTTTTTTACACCACTACTTTTACATGGGGCTCCTGCTACCCTGGGCAGGAAAAGATAATTACTATAAAAAAAATATTCTGTGGGTACTGGCAGTTCTTGTAGCACTGTTGTATGAAGTGTATTAGTTCTTGTTCATTATCAGGATTAGGGCTGGGATGAGTTGAAACTTACTACCCGGGTACTAACCCCCCTATTACCCCAGCTACTGTAGGCTTCAAGAGATAGGTACAAATGTCTGATTGGGAATAGTTTGACCGTAGCCCTGGACAAAATGTATTTAGATACACATTTAATCTGATCTGGTAATGCATACACTGAAGTTGACTGAAGTTTTATCTTAATGCGTTCAGTGACGCGAGTCTTGGACCTGGAAGCCAGGTCTGTCATTCCTTTATTACACTGATGTATGAGCAGTGGTGCTGCTACCCAGGCAGGATATCTCTTCAGGCAAAAGTACACTCAAATTGCTCACTTTCCTGGCTGTGCAATCAGCTGATGGAAAGCGCAACGAAGACACTCTGTGTAATTATGTGATCATGTGACAGGAAGTGCCGGACCATGCATTGATTGACACAGGTTGAGCTGGCTTCGTAAAGAGCATGGAAGGTCAAGGTTGTTTACAGTTGTGCAATTGTACTTTGCTGCAGACAGGAAGTGCCCTTGGTGACCAGGTATTAAGTCGTTCCTCACAGCAGGAAGGCTGGCAATGAAGGGACAATGAAGGAATATTGTCATTTGACTGGATCATGAAGCGTGTCTCACACAAATGAATTATTGAGTCCATTTGGAAATTTCTTTTAACAATCTGAAAGTACTTGATCATTTTGGAGAATGTCAAATGAATATTGTGTTTCTTTAGTCTTGTTAGTGAGTATTGTTTGATGTTTATTAGTGATATTGCAGCAATATATCCCAGCCGTGGACACTCACCAGAATGGCCCCTACACAGATTGCCTGACCGCATGGGTATCAAACCAGATTCAGCTCCTGGCTTTGAATGAGATAGAGAAGTAAGAGGTTTCAATCTGGAAGTAGTCACCACTAGTCAACCGCCTCCGTGGTCTAGTGGCAGAGTATCCGACCAGAGAGTGGAAGGTCCAGGGTTCGATCCTCAGGTGCGTCATACCAAAAGACTTTAAAGATGGTTCTTATTGTTACCCTGGCTGACGCTCGGCATTTAAGCCCCAAAACAAGGACTGGTTGGCTTGGAGTCAATGTACTGTGTCTGAGTGGTGTATTCATGATAAACTGCGAAATGGTATCTCAATGGGCTAGCGCTATAAACTCAGCATTAGTCTGGACTAGTACAAGCAGCCACACACCTGCATGCATGTCGCTATAAAAGTGCAATAATCTTGAACCCTTGTAGGCCACTTGGTCTAAGATGCTGCAATTTGCTGTGCAGAGTTGCATCCCTTGGGCCAGCCATTAACCTAAGATTGTGCGCTCGAATCCCAGTTCACCCTGATTATGTTTCTGGGGGCATGGGTGGCCCAGTCGTCTAAGGCGCGGCGATCTGCTGTGCAGAGTTGCATCCCTTGGGCACGCCAGAAACCTATGATTGTGGGTTCGAATCCCGGTTCGCCCCAATTATGTTTCTAGGTTTGTCAGCACCATACCCGTGCTTGTGGGTTTCACCGAAGTGGTAAACGTCTTAGACCTGCTTCACTTCGGGCTTTCCTCCCACATTATGCTGACACACGCCGTGTTATAACTGGAATACTGTTAAAAGCGGCGTTAAACCCAACTCACTCACACTGATTATGTTTCTGGGTTTGTCGGCACCACACCCATGCTTGACAGTTTCATCCAAATGATGAACATCTAAGACCGACATCACTTTGGACCTTCCTCCCACATCAAGCTGACATGCAATGATACAATTGGAATGCTGTTCAAAGCAGCGTTAAACCCAACTCACTCACTCACTCACAAGTCACAAATTAGTAAATGTGCTATTATGTCACTGGATTGTCTAGTCCAGACTATCATTCAATGGATTGTCTTACATACTATTTTATGTAAATTGTGTGAGTGACGGGTGGTAGCGGTAGAGCAGGCCATCCCACTGATCTCCAGTGATCCATTCATATCATTTTCACCACTGTTTTGCCTTTTATGCTCA